AGATATCATTTTTCCTTTCATTATCCCATTTCAGAAACATTAGTTAAAAATTACTGGCATCATTCACAATTTTGAGGTATTATAGTGCATCAAGGATTTTTTTTCATCCCAATTACTAAATGTTTTCATTTTTTTTAACCACACAAATTGATGCAGCATAGAATGGTCACAGGATCCTTGGATATTTCAAATCCTTTTAAACTTTCAATTTTAAATAATAATATAGACCTGGTTTGTCTGCGTTAGGAATACTTAAAGACTGGTACTTTGCGAACAATTTAGAGCATTTATTTGACAAACAAGCTCCAGCAGCATGTGATTTTATGTGCATTTGTAAAAATGCTGTTAGAAAACTGTTTGCAAATGCAAGTCTAAACAATGTTTTTTCTTATATTTCACCAGCTAAAAAATTTGCTTCTACAAAATCATTTTCAAAAATTTAAGAGTTCTTCAGCATTTTTCCACATCAAGGAACCATTGACTTCCATACTTATTTCACAAACACTTCCGAACAGAATATGCAGTGCTTTCTGAACACTGTGAACTTTCAAATTATGCACAAATGCCATATGCTTGAATCAGGGTTTGTACAGTCCTTTAAAGTCCTTAGGTTTTATGGAATCGAATTTTGGTCTTAAAAGTCCTTAATTTCTGCCAAAATTGGCAGAAGGTTCTTAATTTTAATCATCTGAAATTTCTGCCTGTTTTTATGACTGCCATTTTGAGTGTGAATTAGCCTTTTGGAGGAATATTTTTGGCGATTCACTGATAAATATGGTTATCTTTTTAAATGGATGAATGGGTTATAATTTGTTCCCATTTCTAATACAAACGTTGGGATACTCAAGATTCTGGGCAAAAAGTGAAACATAAGCATACAGCCTTCTTATATTTTTCACTCCATGCCTATCCTAAATTCTAGAAGTTTTGCAATTTCTAGATACTTTTGCTTGGTGGGTCACTAAATTCTAAAATTTCAGCCTCATTGGCTCCATAACTGGGCCTCACCATGTATCATTTCATATTTATTCTGAATGTTCATATTACTAAAGAAATAAAATTAGCAGTTTTTTCTGTTCATTTAGTTTTTAGGATAACAAAAATTTGTAGAGACATTAGGATTTTTTTTTTTTTTTTTTTTTTTTTTTTTTTTTTTTTTTAAGCTTGAAAAATGAGCAATACCTTTGCCGGGAATCGAACCACAGACCTCTGGAATATGCGCCCAGCATGCAGACCACTACAGAAGGCACGCTAAGAAGGCGAGAGAAATACCTTATATAATCCCTCCTTTTAAAGGGCTACTGGGATTTTTTCATGGGATGCAATCGCCAACTCCTGGGTGTGGAGAATCATCACCCACCACCCGTTTATAGTTCGGGTGCCACTGTAGACACATTAGGATTTTTTCGAAGCAGTAAAGATTAGCAACACCTTCACCGGGAATGGAACCAGGGACTTCTGGAATACATGCCCAGTATGCAGACCACTACACCATGAAGGCATGCTAAGAAGGCAGGAGAAATACCTTACAAATTAAATCCAAAAATTCTAAAATGAAGAGGAAATGTATTGAAGAAAGAAACTGAATACATAAAGAGAAAGAAAATTATTCTTCCAAGATATGTACAGTTATTATTATACAAACTAACCGGTTGTCTATAATTTCAGCCTTTATTATAACATCCCCTTTCCTTTTCCTCGCCACAATGAAAAATCAGTTAGATAGTTTCTAAACTGAGGTTTTTGAATTGTAAAACAGAGTGTGCATGCACGCTGCATTAGTTCCTGCCAGCTCTGATAATTTGCAATTATTTATCTTTGCATTATCATTGCGTTTGAATTTGTTATGATGAAAGAGTTAATGAGCTAGCTTAGCTTAAAATTAAATTAACTGCTAGTCTACATTTTAGACTAAATTTGACTGTTTCTGTTTAACTACATCACCATGATACATAGTTTATTTCATTAGCATAAGAGTGTGTCTTTATGTTCTACTTTTATCTTAAATAAGAAGTTTATTTAAACCTTTATCTGACTTTGTAGTTACTTTCAGACATAGCAATAATTTGCTTCATGTTTGTCAGAGCTTTTGGACTATTTAACTTTCATCAGCTTGTACGAAACCTCATAGGTACATTGTCGAAAAATTGACAAGTTAGGAGATAAAGCACGCAGAAACTAATGAGAACATTGTTTTGCACATTGAAACCAATTTGAGATTGTTAAAAAATGTGCTTAGAGAGAAGGAAATTGATATAAATCAACTAAAATGTCTGGGAAGGCTTCAAATTAAGAAAATGCATAAATATTTTGTTGTGTGTTGTTGTTACAAAACAAATATTTCGTGGATTTTAATGTGCAATGATCTTAATATTGTTTAAGAATCAATGTCATAAATTACTTGCATTTTAAACTGTGAAATGTTATTAGATTGTGATTTTAATGGTGCTTTTTTAACAAACATTTTAAAATTATAGTGGTCATGTAAATTTATAACTAGGAGTATCTTAACTACCTAATTTAATTATTTGTAATAGCTTCTCAGCCTTAAAATGATCTCTGCATATCAAAGCGATTTATTGCCTTTCATTAGTCCTTACCATGATTATAAGCACAGCACAAGAATGAAAAAAAATTATCTAAAATTTATTCTTTGCATCTAGTGAGACTTAAAAATAATACAAAACAACATGTCACCTCTGATGCTTTAGTGGCTTATTGGTACCTTAAATTGTATTAACTGGATTTCAACCCCAGAAGCTCTATACGAAGCTACGACACTATCTGCATCAGACAGGCAGAGCACAACTAACTTTCAAACCTTGCAAACCGTACATACATCAGGCTTTCATGTTTGATCTAATCAGCAAGTCTCTTTCTAGGGAAGCAACAGCCAAACTTCTGTTATAAATTATGCTGATTATAATTTTATTTCTCATTTTAACCTATGCCATTTGACATAAAAATCTACCTACTGTTTACTAAACCTCTAGGCTGGGGAAGTATGTGACAAACTGAGACAAAAGAAGAAAATCAGTATGAAGCTAACTGTTAGTAAAACATAAAATGTCACTATCTTCTTTCAAATATGTTCAAATATTATAAGTGTAAAATATTCAATGCTACTTGATAAATTTGATTTAAAATTGATTTTATGTTCAATTTTGTTTTATAATTATGTTTAATAATAATGCATCCCACTTGTGGATCTATTTTATTCTTAGTCTGACATTATAAAAGTGAAGGTCAGCCATAGCTAATACCTTTAATTGAATTTATTCAGCTTCCATTTGCCAATAAGTCCTTCATTTTTTTTCATTAATGGTCCTTAAAAAGACTTATTTTCTGTGTGCAGAAATGTGTATGAACCCTGTTGAATATGTATTATTTCATGTTTATATTTAAATTCTGTTTTGATTTGCAAATAATATCTTCATATTCTTTAAAATCTTGCATAAAAAAGGTTGAGAAACATCTAACCTAAAATAGCATTTCATTAATTAATTTTTGGGAATTGGTCATAGAGGTCTAACACATCAACTTTATCCCTTGGATTATTATAATAAAATCATCATGACAAAAATTACTATTACTGTCATTTTTATCATTTAATAATAGATTAAAAGAATGAGTGCTTCTTAGAGCAGAGCGTTCATAACAAACTAAAGTTCAAAATAAAACAAAAATATTTTTAGATAAAAATATAAGATCATCTAGAATTCAGCTTCATTAAACTGGTTAGTCCAACTGATTTTCATAAAAATCTGAAAGCAGATTCAAACATATGCGGTTGACATCAATCAAAATCAAGCTACATGATGAATTATCACACACATGATGACATTTTTCTGTCACTTGTCAATTTATTTTCCATTTCTTAATTTTATCTTTTACTGAGCAAACTTACACAAACTTTTTTTTGGAAGGGAGGCAGGAATGGGGTCTTGTCAGCTGACTATGAAGTAGATGCAAAAGATAAGCTGGATGGTCATTACATCTTGTCAGCAACTTGCCATTATGAATCAACTGTTCTACAACGAAAGCGCAATATTCACCTGACAAAGTTATGATCTATTCGGTAATGGCATGTAAGTTATTATTCGACAATATGCTTCCTATTACTGTAGACCCTCATGAACCACTACTCATAAACTGGAAAGTCCTTTCTGCCAAACCATGTATATCTGGAATTTTCACAAGAGTAAATATTTAGGCAGATACATGCTAATATGAAGATGTTACATCATAAAGAAATTTATTTGTGGGTGGAAGGGAATTTAATAATGCACATTTTGAACAGAATCTGGGGTAAATTTCTTGAATATTTCATATTTTAACCTAGTTGATAATAAACAAGATATTCAACCTATTATGTCTTTTCATTTACTTCATTTTTATCACCATTGTACATGTTACATGCACAATGCACATACTTTGATACTAAGTCAAAAATTATAAAATTTTCTCCTATCTTGCTGGAAAACTTTTCAAATTTTGAACAAACTTTCTGAATAGTTCATATGTCTGCTGAAGGATTTATAAAAGAAAAAAATGCATCTTTGTAACACGAAACAAATGCTTAGAACTGTAACGCACACACTTATATTTTATCAGATGCAAATGCTATAATATTTTGCTGTTAAAAAGAGCCATAACATTTATATACTATCAAATACTTACACAAAATTTATTAAATAAAACAATTTATGAGTGTAATGCAGTTCCTTTTTTGCTTCAGCTTGAAGAAATACTTAAGCGTTGCTTTGTGTAATATAATAATATCTTAAAAATTAAACACAAAAAACTACAATTTTATGCAAGTAGTAATGAAAAGTGATAACACATGCTTTAGGTGATAACTGTTACATAATATGATAAAAATGATTTTACATGATCAGTTTGTAATACATAAACTGTTTTCAAAAATAACTGTAAAATATTTAAAGGAAACTATTCTCTGATAAACAAGTTTATTGTTATAAAAAATATTACAGAAACTATTCTCTGATAAACAAGTTTATTGTTATAAAAAATATTACAATCTTCAAAATGAAATAATTTTTTCAAATGGTCATAAAATGTAAAATCTTTTAGCTCATTTTATATTAATATTTATGTCAACCTTTATATAAAATCAGCAAAAACATGTATTTATATCAATTACTTAAATAAAAATTATCCAGCTACTAATGAAAATGTTTCAGTAACAAGATGTTTGCAAAATTATACAAAAGCTATTTAAATTACAACAGTTTAAATGAATTCAATCACATATGGATTTAATGAATCACCAAATGCCATATATAAAGTTTATTAACCTGGACGGCATTAAAATAGGCAAATGCATTCTTTAAACATAAAAATCATATCCTATTTTGGTATGAAAATTTCAGTGAATGAATTTGTTGCTTTAGAACTAAGTACAATAATAAAATTTTTTAAAAATATTTTAAATAATAATTTTAGGAAAGAAATTTGATATTAATGTCTGGGTCACTACCAAATTTTTGGAAGCATTAAACAATCCAAGTTTTAATTCAAAGCCACTTATAATTTTGAAAAAAAAAAAAAAAAAAAAAAAAGCTTTCATTCAACATTAGCCTTTCTTCATATTGCAATAGACCCATTGCTTGCTTTATTATCATGACACTACCTTGAAAATCAGTGAATTAACAGTGATATATATATATATATAACTTGTAGTCATAAAATTAGGCAAAGCAACAACCTTCTGTTTGGCATATATTTTAATAAAGACTCTGTTGACAAACTTTTAACAAAGATTTTTTTTCTCCTGATGATTAAGGACCTGCACCTTCTGCCCTCAAAATCAATTGAATCTTTGTTAAAACATATGCTAAATAGAAAATTGTTGCTTTGCCTAATTTTATGCTTTACTTTTGTGTGTTTCTCTCCTCCCTTGATAACTTATAGATTTCTATGTGATAGGTAGTTAACATCTGATTGAAAATATTTTGAAAATTTATAAACATCATATAAAAATATTCATTAAATAAAAATTCTTTGTTAAGAGTTCTGTTCAGAAAAGTTCAAAAATTATATAATAAATAAAACTGTTAAATCCAAATTTAATTATATTTAATCTGTATTAAATACTAAATTTATTGAATACTAAAATCTGTATTCTGTATTGAATACCTATGAGTCTTCCATGTTCATTAAATTTTCTCTTTATAGTTGTAGAAAAATACTTATGCATCTTTTAAAGAGTTTATCATCTTAAATTCACTTAGTTCGAAAACAAGTTTTTCTAATACTTGCGCAATAGCTGCAAAGTAAGATAATAATAATTTATTTACTAAAGAAATATTGTTTATATTATATATATATATATATATATATATATGCCTTATATTACTTCTCAAACTGTATTAAGTTTGCTTTCTGTAGTTCCAAGAAAAAATAATTAAAAAAATTAACCTCATAAAATTTTTGTGTCCTCCCCTTTCAATTTGCAGATTTGGACTATATGAAAAGGATTAATTAAATCCATATATTGAAAACTGAGCATCTATCAACTTCCTAAAATGTCTCAGAAGTTTCATAATAATTTTAGTACAAATTTACTAGACAAGTCACTCATCCAGATTGCTTATTCATAATTATACTAACTTTTTCTTGGCATTTCAGTAACTTCAAAAAAACTTGATACTTTTTTTCATGATATCTGAAAAATGGGGAAAAAAGTAGCATTCTAACACATTTGGTGAAAATTTGTTAAAGAGGGAAAAGATACAAGAAAGGATGCAATAAGTTAATTCAAATTAATGCAAATAATGACTTGAATAATTCATTGCAAATTAAGAATGCCAGAAGCCATAGAAATCAATAATTAGCAACAGGAACTAATATAATGTAAGTAAACCTGTACTTTTCAGTTAACTTTTGAACTCAAAATATCTAATTGTGAACTATTCAGTATATGCTAAGCTTGAGTTATGTAACTGTAAACTAATTTTCATTTTTGAGCTTGAGATACATAATTCTCTTCCATTTCTCAATGTCTTTATCAAATGCAATAAATTTAGTTTTGCATAATTGTGTTACTACAAATCCTGTCATTCTGCTAAACAAAAGTTGCCTTCATTATTTTCCATGCGTTTGCTTTTTCAAATCAACTCTTGATCAGAAAGTCAACAAGTTGTAATAAATAAAGGTTTCTTATCCCATATTGCTGACTAACTGATTAAAAAAGTTTCACGTTTCACTTCATGACAAAAAAAAAAAAAAACTTCTGACCGATCATAAAAGCTTGATAGTTATTATATAGTTATTAAATAAATTAAATTTTCCTATATATATATATATATTTTTTTTTTACTAAGAAAGTCTGCTGCTTAATTATATTACAGATAAATGTCTGGACATTTCACTTTCATGATTTTGCAACACAGAAAAAAAAATAAAAAAAATTTCCATTGTTTAACATTGCTTATAAAACCATACTTTCTGCAGCCAAAAAAACTTTAATTGTTGAACTTGATTTTCTGGAGGTTCTTCACACCTATAAAAATCTGTCTGTTCTAGTTGATAATCCAGATTCTAACACATATTTCCATTAGCCTTTAAAAATCTTGATTCTTGTTTTTCATTTATTTATTCATCAAGAGACATTGTAAGAAAACTTATTGCCTATCATTTCACCAGAAAAAAGTTAAAATACTGTTAAAGACATTACATAGCTGTTTTTTCCCCTTCTCATATTCATATTCATAGCAGAAGAAAAATGTCCTGTTTGACATTCAAAATTATAGCACTGCAAGTTTATTTACATAATGTCAATTCTAGTACCAATTGTTGGTTACTTTATCATTTAATTCATCTAAAACTTTTTTGTAACATTAAGAATGCTCGTCATGAAGTGACTGTGTGATATTAAACTAGAAATCTGTTTTTTACATATACAGCTATGCATTAAGTAATATACATATAATAAAGAATTATTTTTGTTTTATAAAGCATTATAAAATATGAAAATCTACATAATTTTTTAACATGTTCAAATAAAAAATATAATGCATTATTATTTGTTTGCCCTGTGAAGAAACTGCTTTTCCTATTTGAAGATACTGTTCACAGTCATTTTGTTATGCTATGCATTTGAAATAGCAGTGGCTGAAAGATTATAATTGAATTTACAACAATGACAGATCAATGCAATGTTAGTGAAGAGCATCTACTGTTTCATCAAAATAACTATCATAAAATTAGATTATTAAATTTTGAAGTCTAAAGAAAACCACAAGATTGAATGAGTGAACCACAAAGCCCCGTTCACAAGAGCAGATTCGACCGGTAGCGAAAACCGGTTCTTCTAACGTGTCCCGTTCACATGGGACAAGCATTAACTGCCTCGCCGAATTGGAGGTAGAACTTGGTTGAATGTTCCTTACCTCTTGGGAGCAGGGCAAATGGGGAGATTTCCCGTAGTACTGCGCGGTTCACTTAATTTTAGTTACTGCTCGCTGGACTGTCAGCGAAACAATCGCGCTGATAGATGTCTGGGAATGTGATAGCATCTCCCCAAAAATTAGATAGAATTGTACAAGATACGGAAATTATAGACAAATACAAACAAGGTTATCTGATGCTAGGTATTCCAGAAATATCGTTCAAATTAAAACTAAAGTTAAGACAAGTGCATATCGGCTTCAACGCGAAAAGGGACTCGGTACCTTTTGAATGATTTTTTAAAAAAAATTTAAGCATTTTCATCTACGTTTTATGAATATTATTAAATAGTTTTGAGAGACAAAATAATTTTAAGCCGAAAAAAGGTCTTTGCTAGTATTTTTTTTAATTTAAATTTTTGATGAAAAATTTTACAATTAAAATGTCTTTCTTCTCCTACAATTTTCAATGTTAACCCCAGTTTTTTTATTGTATTTATTAGAGTCTTTTTAACCCCTTAACTGCCGCAGGCATATATATACGCCTTGCTCAGCCGATGCGTTAACTGCCCCAGATGCGCAGCCGATGCGTTAACTTTGCAAATAATTTTAGGTGTAGCAGTGCAAAGCTAATGATAGCAGTTTGGAAGGACGTATATATACGCCTGGGGCAGTTAACGCATCGGCTGAGCAAGGCGTATATATACGCCTGCGGCAGTTAAGGGGTTAATAACTTCAAGAAATGATTTTGCAATTAATGAATTAGTTTCTGAGGAAAAAAAATACATTTTTATTTAAAATCTTTAAAACAAATATGATGTCAGTCACATTTTCATTTCAAATAATTTTTTCCTTTCAGTATTTTGCAAAACCCACCGTTGTTTCTACAAAGTATATAATTTTATATAAGCAGTAAAAATAATAAAAAATTTAGTCCATACCTGTATATGTTTTAGGACTTTAAGTAAAAGGATTTATTGAAAAAAGTGCAAAAGGTTTCTCAGTTTGCATTTGCAGTTTAAAGAACTGTCTAAATAGACATTTTATCATTTCAAATCTCTAAAATATTATTACTGAATTTCAATACACACATATGTATATAAATCAAACCTAGTGCTATTTAATTCAATTGGTAAATATAAACATAAATTACAAACCTTTTTTTTAAAACCTTATGTAGCCAGAAAAATTGCAAAAACTCATAAAACGCAAGCAGAAATTTTTCTTTACCTGCTTTTTTGTTTTGTAAAACACGTTCAAAACAATTTTAATACATTAATTAATTATGAATATTGTTGCGTGCGTATGGGTTTGTAATAGATTGATAATAGTTCGTAAATGATTGTCATTGCACTCAAATCCGATGATAGCTTAATTAAATTTATTTATCAACAGAAACACTTCAAGTTCTGGAATTTTCCACAGAAATACTCGTACAAGTGTTTAGAATATCACTAAGTATAATCAGTAGTTATGCTTCAATCTAATAAGAACATTAAACACAACAGAATGCAAAACGCATCTTAAGAGAAAGTTAACTCAGAAATATCTCCTATCTCACGCTGAACTAACAAATAGTAACAATAACAACTTATATAGCATAAATAATGTCATAAAAAATAGTGTGGTATAATGAGATTATTACTTTAAAACCGATGTTTCGAACTGATGCCCAAGAAGAACCAATATTTCCCATTCTGCTTTATTGCATATGTTTCAAAAAAGTATAAAAATCATCCAATTAATTTCCTTTATCATTTTTTTTAAATGCGAAAAGTTTGTTTTATAAGCTGTGAAAATGTCGGAAGTTTGTAACTGATATATTTTTAGATATGAAATTTTAAAATTAATGGGCGTCAAAAAGTCTAAAAATATGAACGATTTTCAAAAATTCTCCCAAAATATTTTTTCAAAGAAAAAAATTACGCTAAAAATTTCGTATTAAATTTTTTTTCCTCCATAGTCCATGTACAGTTTGTGTTATGGTGCAAACTATAATATTCTGAGATTCTCAGTTTATTTGTTAATATTTTCAAAAAAGTCATTTCAACTTTAAATTTGAAAAAAATCTAATCCTCTAAAAATCAAAAGCGTGACACCACATCCACAAGCAGTGTGTGTACAAAGTTTGAGTTCTATATCTTATCGAGAAGCAGTTTAAAAATCCATTACCATCTTTTAACCATAGCGACAAGCACCAAGAGTGAACTAAATAACAACTTATAAAATAATAATAATAATTAAAAAGCATATATTTTGCAGGAACCATTACGAAAGTTCAGGTACCAGTTGCAAAAGTACAGATTACAAAATTAACAACAGTAAACCACGTTAAAAATGTGTAAACAGTATTAGAAATCTGCCAATTCGGAGACGTGATTATTCACAGAGGCTTTAGGTGTAAAGGGGAAGGAAGACGGTGGTCTTCTGAACGGGTCCTAAAGATGAAACTCTTTCATGTCTCCTTTTCTCCCCTTGCTAACGGCAGCTGTGCGAAGGAGCGTTGCATGTGAACGGGGCTCAAGTGAATATTATTTAACAGAAAATAGTTTCATTGAACTTATTTAATTCAACACTTTGATTTGTCAGAATGTTATCATGATTGAAAACACAGTTTTTATGAATTTATAAACATGCAATTTTTGTTTCTACTTACTCTTTATGATAAAGACTAGGTTCAATGACAACACCATCTCCACACATGGATGACATTGCAGTTACAACTGATGGATAATAATTAGCAGCACTTGCTGCTAGAATAGCAGATCCAACTAATACTGGTTCTGAGTTATGTGGAATTATAACAGGCAAACCTAATAAATATATATAAATTACACATGCAAATCCCAAAATCTTCCGTTAAAATATTTGCAGCATTATTTTTGATCGATTGAAAAAGTTATCGATTATATGATTATTTCATACCGAACCCACAATATCCCCTAACTGTTTTGAGCAGTGAATGTGACTGCACGACTTTACTCCGCAGTAGAAAAGAAACGGAACCTAAAACTCCACTACAGATTTATAGAGAAAATGTTTTTCCAAACCTAAGAGTTGCACTTCAAACACTACTTACTATTTCATTATCAAATGCTATGAACGTTCATTCAGCAAATTAAAATAAATTTTCACATAATAACAATCAACGATGGGACAAGATGCCATAAGTCATCAAGCATTTTTAAGTGTGGAAAGAGAAAAGTTTGAAAGGATCAACTTTGATGAAGTAAATGATAAATTTGCTTCAATCCAAGGTAAGAAAAATGTATACATAGTAATTAATTGTATTCATGTATTATATTATTATTAATAAAAATAAGTGTCCGACCAAGTCGAGGTGCACGTTATCGAAGCGAGATGTGTGTGTGTGTGTATTTAATTATGGCAAAGCACACTAGGGCTATCTGCCTAAGAGGAGGGATGCCTTCGTGGAGGACTTTCTAAGGGAAACTGGCTCGTATACACGTTACACATGGGGAAAACCACGAAAACGCCCATGCAGCCAGCCCGTTCGCGGGATTCGAACCGCGGACCGAACTACCAGTGTTCAGCAACTTTACCGCTCGGCCGCTGGTGGGCCTACGAAGCGAGATGAGGGCAAATTAAAATTTTTAAGTTGGCTGGTAGTGTGTCTGACAATTTTAGATCTTTGGCACTCCAAGCACGAACATGTCCAGTTGGCTATGTCCTTTTGCATGCTAGGCCATACGAAATATTGCTGTCTCAGTTTCCTCGAAGCCTTGATGCCAGGATGTGACAGACGATGTAACTGACTAAAAATGGCATGTCGAAACCCTGAAGAAACATAAGGTCGAAATCTTGAATCCTGAACATCACAATAAAATGATTTTCCAGGTGACAGCTGCATAGGCTGTCACCTGGAAAATCACTTTATTGTGATGTTCAAGTTGAGATTGGTAGAAGATTTGCTTTTCAAGAGGGTTTGTAGTTCTGAATCCCGGTGTTGTTCATCCACAAGGGCAGCAAAGTTTATTGGCGAAGGAACGGCTAGTTCTTCAATACGAGACAAGGTGTCTGCTACAAAATTCTGCGAACCTTCAATATAACGGATATCTGTTGAAAATTGCCCTATGAAGTCTAGGTGTCTCATTTGACGAGGAGAAGCTTTATCCAAACGCTGTTGAAAAGCATAGGTTAAGGGTTTGTGATCTGTGAAGATCATGAAAACGCTATAGCATCTGTCGAAAATATTTGACAGCTTCATAAATTCCTAATAATTCGTGATCGTAAGTGGTGTATCTGGTTTGCACTGGTGAGAGTTTTTTAGAAAAATATGAAAGTCAGGGGTGTTTGTGGGACTCCAAAAAATCCCCTGAAACTTTTACGGACTTACTACTGACATTTTGGAGTTTTGAGAAGGGGGGGAGAGAAATGAAAAATTACAATTATGAAGTATTGAATGACCTAATTATAAAAGTTCAATGAATTACTTTTTTTGCAAAATTAATAACCATAAATTTTCAAACATATAAACTACTACATTTTATGTAAATATTTTAAATTACCTGAACTAATTCTTTAAAAAAAATTATCTAATTTCTGCTGCTTTTTGTTATTTTCTGATGTTTGTGGGCTTGTCTTTCTTTTGTGGTGAACTTCATAATTGCAGGAAGGTTGACTTTTATTTTCCTCATTTACAGTTGAAGAAATTTCCTTGAGAACTGCACATGCAGAGGTAGAAGCAGTTTGCTTTTCTGCTAATGTAGAAGGTTTTTCAGAGACTTTTATAGGTGACTCATCTGAAATACATGTTTTTAAGTCCTCTTGATATGTTTTCCAACTTCTGTTCATATTCAGTAAGAGATCTTTGTGAATTGGATCAGTCATTGGATTTTTTGAGCCATATTTTTCACATGAGGTTTCTTTAGAAGCCATTAAATCATATTTACTAGTCTGCACTGCATCTAGGGAATCAATCTTAAGAGAGGTTCTATAGTCAGTGGACAAGTGTATCCATTAAGTTGAATGCACTTTCCACTAATGGGCTATGGAAGCAGCTAAGGCAGGCTTTGACCAATTTAGCCAATGTAGGATACTTATAATCATTTGTGAAATCATCTTTTAAATTGAAAACTTTAGACCAATATTTATCAATTGTACACTTGACTTGATGTTAGTTTGGTACATTTATATTTACCGTATTGGCAACACCAAGTTCTCTTTTCTCTGTATGCGAGCTATGGATGCCGATGTAATGTTGTGCACGTGTTGTTAAGTTTCAATAAAAAAATGTGAAAAGATACATTTCTTATTTTTCGACTTGCTTCTTCATATGATATCGATTTATTTAACATGGTAGCAGTTCTCGTGGTTTGTGAATATGAATGAAGATTTTAGTAGTTATAATTTGCTTTAAAAGTTACCGGTACTAGCGTAAAAATGGCATGTACAAGAAGCAGCGATATCGGCATACCACTATTTGATGGTTCGGACTATTTTAATTGGAAAGTGCGTATGATGAAATTTCTTCAATTTAAAAAGTGTAAAGATGTGGTTCAGCAAAAAGTTAGTGAAAACAATGACGTGAAAAAATGGGAAGAAAAGAATATACAAGCTACAAATTACATTTACGGCGCCATAACAAACAAGCAATTGGAATACATTCACAAGTGTGAGACTGCATTTGATATAATTACGAAATTTGATGCAATGTATTTAAAAACTTCAACATCTCTACAAATTGTTTGTAGAAATAACTTAGAATGTGTGAAACTGAAAAATTATCCTGATGTAAATATATTTTTCGATGATTTTGAGAAGTATGTGAACGAGCTGAAACATGCCGGCGCCACCGTGACGGAACAAGAAAAATTGAACTATATGCTAAGAGCATTACCTTCAAATTACAGTCACATTGGTGACTTAATAGATGTATTACCAGAGAAGGACAGAACAGTCGATTACCTAAAGAGCAAAATCAAATCAAAATTACTTGAAGAGAAAAATGATTATGAAGATTGTGCACCAGCAGAAAAATCAAATGCGTTCAAAATTGAAACAAGCAAATCGGGCAAAATCAAATGCGTTCAAAATTGAAACAAGCAAATCGGGCCCACAAGGGAATGTCTGTTATAACTGTGGAAAACCTGGTCACATTAAAAAGAATTGTTGGCATGTCCATCAAAGGAACTATCGTTGTAATGGCTCCACTAATTATCGTGGTCGAAGTTCTTCAAACAATCGAGGATGTAGTCGTGCTTTTAGTGGACATCGTGAACGTGGAACATACTCTAACCAGAGAATAAACACTCATCAAGGCAATAGTTTTCACACCACTGTTATTATTAAAAGTAACATGACAAGTTCCAGTGCAAATATTGTGACAAATAAAAATGAAATCAATTGGTTACTGGATAGCGGATGCACAGACCACATTATAAACAGTGATGAATATTTCAAAGAGCAAGTCACTTTGAAGGATCCTATTCAAGTGAAAGTCGGTGATGGAAGGATTTTGACAGCTACAAAGGTTGGCAATATAATAGTTTCTTTTCCTGTATATAACTCTGAATCTATCATAACATTGAAGAATGTATTTTATGTAAAAGAAATGAAAGCAAATTTATTAAGTTATTCAAAGATTACTGATAATCATAAAATAGTTTCAAAAGAAAAGTTTTCTAAAATATATGATGTCAATGGTTCATTAGTAGCAGTAGCAAAGAAAGAAGAAAGATTATATAAAGTAAAGAGTTATGTTAAAAATAGTAAAATATTTGCAAATTTGACCAACAATAAGTTAACGTTAAAAGAAAAATTGCACCGTTCATTTGGACATGTAAATTTTAAATATCTGGATATTATGTGCAAAGATCAGCTATTAGAAGGAATCCCTAAAGAAATAGAAACCGAAATATATGAAGTGTGCCATATGTATTGAAAATAAAATGCACAATTTACCATTCAAGAATAATAGAAGAAAAGCAGAAGATATTCTGGAGATTATACATACAGATGTAAATGGACCTCACAGAACAATTGGATGTAATGGTGAGAAATACTTTGTGAGTTTTATTGATGATTATAGCAAGTTGGCAAAAATTTATTGTATCAAATCTAAGGATCAAGTCTCTGATTGCTTAATTAAATATGTAAATGAAATTCAAAATTTAACAGGGAAGACTATCAAAGAACTAAGATGTGATAATGGTAGTGAATATATGAATAGCAAGATATACAAATTTGCAAGAGAAAAAGGTTTCAAGATAAAGTCATGCCCACCATATGTACACGAATTAAATGGTACTGCTGAGCGTTACAACAGAACTATAATGGATATGGCAAGATGTCTTTTAGCCGAAGCAAAAGTTGACAGATGTTACTGGCCTGAAGTAATTAAAGCTGCTGCTTATTTGAAAAACAGGACATTAACAAATACTATTGTAAAGAAGACACCATATGAAATATTTTTCAATAGGAAACCATCTGCTAATGAATTGAAATTATATGGAAGTAGAGTGTATGTAAGAATACCAGAAGAAAAGAGAAAGTCTAAGTGGGATAAAAAGGCTGAATTTGGAATTTTACTTAGGTATACAGAAGTTGGATATAGAGTTTTGATGAATAACAGAATAATAGTTGCTAGGCATGTTGATATTATTGAAGAAGACGTAATGTGTGTAGGTTGTGATGATGAAGATGAGATACAAATAAGAAGAATATGATGAGATACAAATAAGATGATGATACAAATAAGAAGAATGAACCTCAAGAAGTGTCATGTGAATCGAGTAATGATAACTCCAAGGACAGTCTGACAAATGAAGATGAAACAAAAAGTGGAATGAGA